AAAAAAAAAAAAAAAAAAAAAAATTGATATTTTATTTTATATATGACAAGATTTTTATTGGAACTCCAGTCATTTTTAGAAAAATAATTCTGTGTAATTATGACAGAAAAAACTTGGAAATGCAGCAATTTATAAAGAAGTAATATGCATTCCTACCAGTAGTGTATTGACACTGGTGTATACCTTTTGCTGCTAGAGAAAAGGTCTTATTTAAACTTTAATATGTAAAAACTCAACATTTAATATTTTATATAATGTACATAGATTTTCATTCTTGTTTGCTTTCTCTTTCCTCTTCTGAATATTTAGTGTGGAACTCAAAAATACTAGTATTAAGTATGGGTTCAGAAGCAATTCAGAGAAAGACTGAATATACCTGAACTGTCCCCTAAAGAGTCAGCAGTAACTGAAAAAAAATTTTTTCAGAACATAGTGTTTTTATAAAGTATTGTTTCTTCTTAATGTGACAATGGCCTGTATTTTAACAGTAAACATAAATATAGTAGTCAAAAAGAAATCTTGCCAAACACTTTAAGAAATAATGGAAAACTTTTCAATATGAAACTGGCATAATTAATGGTTGGGAAATGGAAGGTCAATTGACTAATCAGTAATCTTTTACACAGTTTCATTTAGGACTTTTGCAGTATGGAACTTTTGAGAGAAATGTATAATGTGTACAGTAAATTCTAATTTATTTATTTGAGGAAAGAGATAAAAGCAAACAAAACATCCTTTTAGACTGAGTGTGGTGGCCAAACCTTGTAATCCCAGCACTTATCAGGCTGAGATCAGAGGATAGCTGTGAGTTAGAGACCAGTGTGAGCTATGTAATGAGTTCCAGGCCAGCCTATAAACTACATAGGGAAACCCTGTCTCAAAGCACAGAAAGCAACCTTTCATAGACAAATACACAATGAAACATGGGTGCATATAAACAGATACATATCAAAGATACATGCTTGTAGTGTGACTTCTCTAACCTTAGCTATTAAAAAGCTGTTGTTGAAGAACTGTAAGAGTGACGGGGAGGTTATCTCTGATACCTTTGAATATTTTCCAGAGATTGAATGGATCAGAGCCAAGTTTGGAGTCTCTTCATTCCCACCTCTAATAGAGATATCTACTATTGAATATACTTTAGTATCAGGGAGCTTATCAACATACTACTTAAGCAGATGGGATTAGCATTTCTTTTATTTGATATACTAAATGTTGTATCAGGTATAAATGATGGCTTTCTTTTCATGCCTCAGTGTTTTAAATGTTTTAATGCAGGCTTTATGTTCTTGTTTTCAGTCTTGACCTACAGATATTTTTATTTTTTATTTCAATAATTATTTGTTCTATGTGGCTACATAAGAATCATTTTGCTTAAAATTGGTTGACTTGTTAAAGGAGTAATTGTGATCATTGACTAATTCTTAAAGTCTAGCATTACCATAGAAGAGGCACTAAGGAAACTTAATTCACTGATAAAGTACAGATAAAATTTGGCCATAAGATTTGTGGAAAAGAAAATAGAATATACCTTAATGCTTATGATGTAAGAGATTGGAACAATACTTAAATTCACTGGTTAGCATTGTAAATATCTTTTTAAGCTATATACACTGCATTTATAATTAGAAAGTATAACTGGCTAATAGTAACAGCAAAATATCACAAGTTGCTATTTAAGTAGGTGCCAAAGTTCAAAATAGTTGTATAATGTCATATAGCTCTTAATGAGTCTCTCATTGATCCCCCCCCCAATCCTGGAGATTGTGCCTATGGCCTTCACTCTGAGCTACATCACCAACACACCACCATCTCCATTTTTTTGTTTGTTTTTATTTTGAAACAGGGTCTCACTCGGTTTCCCAGGCTGGGATCACACTTGCGATCTTCCTGCCTCAGCCTCTCAGATTGCTGGGATTACAGTCATGTGCAGCTACCCCAGTTGTCATTGATTCCTAAAGTTATGTACCACTTAATTTTGAATTAGCACCATTGTGCATTGTAACCATATTACTATACAAGGAACATATACTAACAGCATTTTGGATAAACAATAAAAAGGGCAAAGACAGTCGAGAACCGAATCAGATTCAGTAGTTAGGTTCAGTGTTGATTTTTCTCCTCTAATTTGGTTTGCAACCAGAATCATGGAAAGAGTTCCTGAACTAAGATACCACTGTAACAAGTTGTTGCTCCCTTTTAGTGTTCATTCACAAAAGGAATAGCATACAGAATATCTACATTTAAGTGGAATAAGGAAAGTTCTAGAACAGAAAGTGCTGCTCAGAAGATAATTGTGGGGTCTGGACAGGACAAACTTTAGTTAAAAATTTGTGTAGGGCTGTTCTTGGTTCTCATTTCTCTTTATTCTGTTTTGCTACTATGTTTGAAAAATGTTTGCAGCAGGCTAAAGTCATAGGGTTAATGAACTATACATGATAAGATTTTGTTTTTGCTACAGTTGATGACTATAATAGAAATTTTTAGACTAGTTTTATATACTTAACAGGTGTTTCTGTGTTCCCACTAGCTGATGATATAAAGCCATGTCCTCGATGTGCTGCTTATATAATAAAGATGAATGATGGAAGTTGCAATCATATGACATGTGCTGTCTGTGGTTGTGAATTTTGTTGGTTGTGCATGAAAGAAATTTCTGACTTACATTATCTGAGGTAAGCTTATATAGGGAGTTAATTATATGTAAGTATAATTTTATATTGTAAGACAAAATAACTTTTTGAAAAAAAGTAGCCTAAGCATTTTTAAACATGGGATTTATAAAATACTTATAGAGATGAATTTTGTTGTACTTAAATAGATTTAAATGGTACCAAATTATTAATAGTAGTCATTTGTGGTTGCGTTGTTGTTGTTGTTGTTTTGTTTTGTTTTGTTTTGAGATGACAGTCTCACTTGTTCCCCAGTCTGGTCAGGAACTCCTGAGCTGAAGTGACCATCTTGTCTCAGCCTCCCACGTGCTGGGACAAGAGATGTGAGCCACCATGCCCAGCTTATGCTGCCATTTGGAATTAATAAAAATTAAGTCAAATATAGGAGGTGGAGGTTTCCTTTTTTTGTTTTGTAGTTGAAGTAAAATGCTAGTATTTAGTGTCCTGTGTAATTATAGTAGATCATGACTATTTCCACTTAATTTTCTTGTATAATCAGATGATTTTATGTCTAAAACAGATAAAACAAGCATGTTGTATGTTAATGTAGTCTTCAAAAATTAACTTAAAGTTTTGAAGATTATTGAAGGCTAAGGGTAAATTTTGAATCCTGGGTATCAGTGTCTTGTTAAGGTAACTTATAGCAAATCTTACCTTAATTTTTTGGCTTTAATATAAACTAAGAATTCAAAGAAAGGGGGAAAAGCTAAGTGTGAGAAGTTTCCTATTCTAAGCTGTGCTTCAGTGTGTTGTACTAATTTGTTGTGATGTTTTGCAGTAATTATTTTACATTCTGATTTTTCCATTAGTCCATCTGGGTGTACCTTTTGGGGGAAGAAACCCTGGAGCCGAAAGAAGAAAATCTTGTGGCAGCTGGGAACCCTTGTTGGTGCTCCTGTGGGAATCGCCTTAATAGCTGGCATTGCTATCCCTGCAATGATTATTGGCATTCCTGTGTATGTGGGCCGGAAGGTAAAATTCACACATTTGTGTTAAGTCTTTAGGTGTATCCCTTTAATATTAATTTTTGTTTTGTTTTGTTTTGTTTTTGTTTGTTTTTAGACAGAGTTACTGTTTAGTTTTTTCATTATAAAAAGATTACTGTTTTCATCAGATGATTCACCTCCAGTGCTTGACAGGCCACCTAAAAAGCCCTCTTGCTTTAAAACTAACTGAATCTGAAAACTTGAGTACATTTGCATTATAAAACCTGATATACCTGACATTTTTCTCCTAGGAAAGTCAGATCTATGAGATTTTTAAATAAAAATTGATACCTAAGTAACACATGCCCTCAAGCAGAGAATAACCAGTCCTTTCATTCTTTCCACATCTGTTCAGAGTTTTCCTTAGTAATTTCACTGTTTTGCAGATTGTGACAACGTGTGTAAATCCAAACACCAACACTTATTTGTAACTATTGATTGTTGAATTATGCTTCATTTGATAAGCAAATTATTCTTTTTGACATGTTAATGGAGTAATTTATGAAGTGCTAAGAAGTCTGCTGCTGCTTAATAGCATCTCAGAATTGAGAAGCACCTTTGGAAGATATCTAATCTAAACTTTGTACCTAAGTAGAATAAAGGATAGTAATTTTTAAAAAGGGACCTAACAGTTGTAAGCCCATACTATGTGACAGATGTTTTATGTACTAATTTTTAACTTTGTAGAAAACTAGGTATATTAATCTCTGTGGTAGAATGCTGAGGGTTAGAAAAGTTTATGTAATTTATCCTCAGTTACACAGAAAAGTAGAACTGGAATTTGAACTGAGATGAATGAATTACTTCTGTAAGATCTCTGATAATTTTCAGTTTAGCTGTTTGGACAGTCCAGTGATAGAGAAACCACCAACTCATGAGGCAGCCCATTCTATTGTCAAATGGCTAGTGTTAGAAAATTATTATGTTGAGTTAAACTCTGTTTCTCGTAAAATTATTTTCTTTAATTCCATTTCTGATTTCTGGTACCAAACTCAGGATAAGGTAGATCCTTTTTCATATAACAGCCAAATTTTTTATATTCAACATAGATTTTATAATCAGAAACATACTAACATATACTAATGTTCTAAGTTAGTTTTAGGAATTGGGATATAGGTCAGTGGTAGAGCATTTGCCTAGCATGCAGAAGGTCCTAGGTTAGATCCCCAGCACTACAAAAGCAAACTAAAACCAAACCATCAATTTAAGAACTGATGGCTAACTTAGATGCTTATAAACCCAGTGCTTATTTCAAAGGTTTTATGTTTGTAAACCTAAACTTTAAAATCCAATACATGTAAAAGCTGATACTTTTTGATTTTATTCAAAGCAAGATTTTTTTGAAATTAAAACTATTTATTCACTTAGAAAGGAAACAAAGACTGTTAAACTGCACATACCTGCAAAGAATTTGTAGAGGAGAGATTATTTATTGCATCGTTGCAGTCTTAGGTGCAGTTACAAAATATCTTTTTTCAAACATGTGCCCAAAAGACTGTAAGCTGATGAATTAATTTTCCAGTGGAACAATGTTTTATGATGTTTAGAGATGCTACCAGTCCATTAAAACCAATGGAGTACCCAAAAATTAAGCTTTTGTTTGCAATAAAAAATAGAAAATGTGGCAAAAAGAGCAAACAGAAACAATTAAGTTCAACCAGAAATAATGGGATGACACAATCACTAAGTGAACATTAGTGCTTAAGGGTACAAAATGTTCTGGAGAACTCTATTCTCTTGTCTGTCTGCCTTTGCAAGTCTATTCTCTTGGTTTGTAGATAATTTGAATTACTGTGCAGCATTGCAGAGTGGGAGTAAGGAGAATTAAGAATTACCTACAGTACTGAGAGAAGGTAAAAAGGACTTTGTAAAGATTTGTGGTCTCTACATGAAGCCTATGGGGAAGTCAGAGTCCCATTTCCTGGGATCATACAGTCAGTATTGGGAAATAGGATTCTGACTAAGGAATTAGAAATGTTCCTTGTCTCATACGTGCTTTTTGCATTTCCCCATTCTGGCCTTTTGACTGTTTCATCTCCCACAACACTCATTGGTTTTTTGTTGTTTTTTTTTTTCTGGTCCCTGGGTTTGAACTCAGGACCTTGCGCTTGCAAGACAGGCATGGCACGACTGAGCTAAGTCCCCAGCCCACGCTCATTGTGTTTTACAGCCTCTGCATAACCACATAGTCAAAGGTCATTTTATTTTTCTTTGCCTTTAATATTGCTTGTAGATCAAGTATTTTATGTTAAAGACTGCCTGCACACTTTTGAGGCTATTTTGAATGTGTCGTGAAACAAACAGGGAAATATACTTTACTAATAAGCTGTAGCTCATAAAATCCCTGAGAAAAAGATGCTGAGCTGTTTCCCATAGTTTATATAATAGCTCACATGGTAATATTAAACTCTGTTTATTAACCTCAGTACCTTACAAGGATGTGACCTGTCCTTGGGTAACTAATACTTACTCTCCTTTTGCTCTCTGTACCTCTTACTCTGAACTACAGATGTGAGCTCAGCCCTTTGAGTCATCCATTCATGTTTCTCTTCTTTTTCAAAAACAGATCTTAGAAAAAGTTCTATTTGGTAATATGTTTAGTAGTATTACTTTTAAAGTCAGTTTTTAAAAAGATTGTGGAAACCTCCCCTAGGGGCTGATTTTTGCCCTTTAGGTAAATCTTATTTACAAAGACTCTTGTGAAATGCTAAATTTCTTAACAGTATCCTATTAAGCATCCAACCCATAATTATGCAAATAACATTCTTAATTTTTTTCATTATACTAGTCTTCAATAAAATTATAAACCCGCTCTTTACTCAAGAATGTTTTAAAAGTTAACACAAAGTACTATCTACTGTCATTGTCTTTTTATGAAAAACGTATTATTAAGAAATTATTTGTAAGACTTTTCAGAACAATAATAGGTTTCTTTGAATTAGGACATTCAAATGAGAAATTATGTGAGAAATCGCTTTAAATTTCTAGCACATATAGGTCTTTAAATGAAATATATAGTATATTTTCTCTTTAATACCCTGCCCCCATTTTTATTTTTAATTCAAGATTCACAATCGATATGAAGGCAAGGATGTTTCAAAGCACAAACGGAATCTGGCCATAGCAGGTGGTGTAACATTGTCAGTAATCGTATCTCCCGTAGTAGCTGCAGTGACTGTGGGTAAGAAAATGCTTTAAAACACTAATTACCTCAAATTTTTGTGGAAGGGTTTCTTATATTGTATTGTTGGAATAAGAGGGATATATTTTAAATCTTATTTAAAATCATATAAAAAGTCTCATTCAGTAACTGTATTAGTTAAAAGTATTATAGGGCCAGGGGTTTAGCTCTGTGGCACCATGCCTGCCTCACAAGCACAAGGTCCTGAATTGGATCCCTAATACCTCCCCGAAAAAAAGTATTATAGACTCTAGAGACTTAGTTAGGGTACCTGATAAATTTTCAGTGGCCAAGAGCCACTAATTCATACAATTCAGAAGCCTGTACTGAAAAAAAAAAAATTCTTCCCTCCCTCCCTTCTCTTCCTCCCATCTGTCTGTTTCTGTCTCTATGTCTTTCTCTCTCTCCCTCTCTCCCCCTCACCCACTCCCCTTGCTCTCCCTGCCCCCTTCTGTCCCTTGAGTCACCTGAAAGGCTAGGAGCCTGGAATTTGATTGTGTCCTTTAAGAGCTGGGTAAATCGATTTTTGGCAAGTGTTCCAGCCAAATTGTCAGAACTCTATCAGTTTTTCTCCTGTGTACCTTCTTTTAAGAGTTTTCTAAAGTTTGTGTTCTTATGAATCTGTGTTTTTGTTTATTATGGCTCATTTAATTCCTCTTTAGGCATTGGTGTTCCTATTATGTTAGCTTATGTCTATGGCGTTGTTCCAGTTTCTCTGTGCCGAAGTGGAGGTTGTGGAGTCTCAGCAGGCAATGGAAAAGGAGTAAGGATTGAATTTGATGATGAAAATGATATAAATGTTGGTGGAACTAACACAGCTGTAGGTAAGTTCTTTAAACAGAGGTAGAAATTGCGCGTATTAATAGTTTTAGTAGGGGAAGCCATAGATATACATGCAAGTTAGAATTTTCATTTGTATTCCTTTTACGATACCTGATAGAGTTCATCCAGAAGAACATCAGTGATTTTTTTTTTTCTTTCCTTCCTCCTCTCTCCCCTGCCCCAGTACCAGGGATCCAACTCAGGACCTTGTGCTTGCCAGGCAGGCACAGCACTGCTGAGCTATATCCCTGGCCTGCATCAGTGAAATTAATTGTTCAGGGGAGGTACCTGGATGAAAAGAGGATGGAATTATCATCTAACTTTTAATGGGAATGTAATGTCTTAAAAATCCTGAACTTTTTTCTTATATCCTGCCTAATACATTTTAAATCAGTAAGAAAAAGATATGAAGAGAAACACAGTTAAAAGAAGAAATATAGATTGCCAAAAAGTCAAAAAATACCTTCAAACTAGTTTTGGTCAAAGAAATACAAATTAGAACAATAACCATGGCAATGATTACAAAAAAGACCTTTGTAGATTGCCAGCAGGGTATAAGTTAATAAGTTATTTTCAAGTGCATGTTATTGCAGCAATTTTTGTTATATAAATTTTTCTTAGGAAAAAATTACCAGACAAATGTGTAAAACATAATGTCATTTTATTACTTCTCATTCTCTTTACCTCAGCTCTGATCAGAATTTTGTCCCTACTGCTGCAGAATTTCCCTCGACCATTACTCTAAAACAGAGTCCCAGTGGCTTCCATGCTACCAAATACAGTGATCAGTTCTTGTCCTCATATTAACATAATAAATAGTACACCTGATGTGGTAGAACATGTCTTTGTCCTGCTTTCACTTGTCTTCTGGGAAATCAGTTCTAATCACATCTCCTAGCTATTTCTTTTTTATCTTATTTAATGATTTGTCTTCCTCTCCTAAACACCTAAGTGTTTGATTTTTCCCAAGGCTTATCTCAGACTTCACTTATCCACACTTACTCCATACATAATCTCATCTATTAAAAAATACATAGACTAACCTCTGTAAGCTTATATCTAGGCTGGAACTTTCCCCTAAACTTCAGATTTGTGTATCTAACTCTCCCCTTTAGTCTGCCTTTGGATATCAACAATTTCAAGCTTAATTTGTTGTAACCAAGTTCTTTACTCTAAAACCTGTTCTTCCTTCATCATCCCTACCTCAGTAACTTCTTCTGTCATGAGTTGAAACTGTTCATTTACAGTGACTCCCCTTACCTCTTACACATTCTACATTTGATCATCAAATTATGCTCCATCTTTCATTATTTAGCCATAATCCAACCATTTCTTACTCTCTCCTCTGCTATTGTATTAGTCCAAGCTACTATTCTCTTTTTTCCATTATTGTATTAGTCTCTTAATTGATCTCTCAGCTTCTCAGCTTCCACTGTCTCAAAATGTAGCCATGATTATGCCTCAGAAACACAAATTAGCATGTGTTTCTTATGCTCAGTATTTCCCAGTGACTTAGAATTGAATTGGAAAATCCAAAATCCTTATTATGGCCCATAAAGCCCCAGATGATATACCCTAACCATGTCTCTAAATTCCACTTATCACCTTCCTCCATCATAACACCCCTTCTTGATTTTGAAGGATGCCAAGCATGTTTCTGCTCCAGCTTTTTCAACCTGCGTTTCCTTCTTCCTGAATACTCTTCTCCAGATAATTTCATGGCTCACTCCTTTACTTCTTTGAGTCTCTACAAGTTTTACCTTATCAAAAAGGCTTTTCCTAGCTGTTGCTGCTATCGATGCATAACATACTATTATTAGTCTTTTTATATAAATATAAATATATATATACATATATATATGTATATATATATATAAATTGAATTGAATTTTGAGAAACTTTAACGGTGCTGCCAACTTTGGAAAAAGTCATCCCAATTTACTGTGTTGAATAGGTAAAAGTCCCCAATTTACTGTGTTGAATTTGCATTGTACAGAAATAGCCATATTGGTCTAGAAATGTAAATTTATTTTTACTTTTTTTTTTTCCATGTGTACAGGGGTAACGCACTGTATTAAATATGTAAGGTCATATCTATGTGGGTTTGATTACAGAAACTAATAAAGTATTCTCTAAATAATGAAAAAAAGAATAAGATAAGACTATAAGAGCAAGAAGCAATTTAAATATGTTCAGGGACCATTTTCATCTCCAGAATTAAGGATTATTTTAATTTACATCATTGCCTTTTCTCTTTTACTTTCCTTTTTAGTGTTATTTTTAGGATTCTCTGTTTTTAATGTTCATACAGAAATTTCTTTAACTGAAATACCGAATAGTTTCTTTGGTGTGAAAAGCTATAATAGTACACAGGATCCTAATGAGACAATTAATAATGTGAAATAGGAGGTAAAGGGCTAAAGGTGTAAGGAAAGTGGGAAGGGTGGGGGAAAGGTAATAAGGGAGAGGAAAAAAATATGAGAAACTGAAAAAATGGAAATAAAGTGTTTGTAAATGGGGAGGGTGGAGGGGGTGAAGGGAGGGCAGGGACAAGGGGAAAAATGAGAATCAAGATCTATTATGTAAAGGTACAGAAACCCAATGATGAATGTAACTGTATTGTATACCTAGATTGTACCAATAACCTCAATTAAAAAAAAATTTAAAACAAAAAAGGCTTTTCCTGATCACATTATATGAAATAGTGCACCAGCATGTATACCCATACACTTCTTATGGCTCCTCCTTGTAGGGGATGGGGAAGGGGATGTTACCAGGACCACTGCCTTGGGTTCTGGCCTTTGAGCCATCACAGCACAAGACAAATTCAAGAACAGACAGAAATGACACTTAGAGTGGAGAAGCTGAGTCTTGGGTCCTGATCAGTACTGCTGAGCAGCAAAGACAGAGACACCCACCCACCCGCCAGGCACGTTCAGTATTTATTGAACACAGTCATGGGAAGGAATAGGGAGTAGGGTGTGCTCTGAGGCCCTCTCATGAAATACTGCCACGCACCTGGCACAGTGGCACCAGGCAGGGCTGTCAGGGAGTAAGCGCTGATTATTTTGCTTGGATAGAACAAACGGGTACTGGGACCAGGTACCATTAGCACACGACCCATTGGATCAGCAGGAAGCCGTAATTCAGGGAAAAGGATTTTAACTGGGGCCACGCTGACCTCTGCTGCACGTAGCTCCTCAGCAGAGTCCTTCCACTTCACAGACTAGGGCCTACGTTTCCATGGCAGGCACTGAGGGAGGGGCTGTCCTTGCCCGTCCACCATCTAACAGGCCCATTTGAGTCATGTAGAGCTTCAGTCTGACTCCTGAGAAAAAAACAGTACGTAAGGCAAGAAGCACAACGCGCCACTCATAGCCTGCTAATACTGGTCAGGGATGTCTCCTACACCTTCTACTCTTTTTTTTTTATAGCCTCTATCGCCATATGATTGGGTCTCTTAATAAGAACTCGGTGGTATGAATAAGTGTCTCCTTCCGTACAAAGCATGTGAAAAGTACTGTTGAGATTGTAGGTTATCAGACCTGATAATGGCTAGGAGGCCATTGGAACTGTGAGCTGTTATCTAGAAATCAATTTTGGCCCATTCTTCTAGAGGATAAGATCATCTTCAAATGACACCATTATTGAAAATTGTCATGTAGTTTTCTTACAAAATCATCTGATTTTTTTTTTTTTTTGGTACTGGGGATCAAACTTGGGCCCTTGTGCTTATAAGGCAGGCACCAGAACCACTGAGCTAAATCCCCAGCCCTCACCTGATGTTTTTCAATAATGAGTTCATTATAGAATTTCTAAATCTTCTAAATTAAAAGAAATAGTGACTCTCAATCCCTTATCCAATGTACTTTCTGAGGTATATCTCTTTACTCTTTTACCATAGTTATACGTCCTTGACTCCACACATTTTTTTTCTGTCATTTTGTGTGGTTTTTATACTTTTAAAAATAGCGCATCTAAAAGTATGGAAGAATTCAAGAAGGGGAAAATTAATAATAATTTTTCTTTAATTTCTTTTAATTGGTTACATTTAGACACAACATCAGTAGCAGAAGCAAGACACAACCCTAGCATAGGGGAGGGAAGTGTTGGTGGTCTGACTGGCAGTTTGAGTGCAAGTGGAAGCCACATGGATCGAATAGGAGCCATTCGGGACAACCTGAGTGAGACAGCCAGCACCATGGCCCTTGCTGGAGCGAGCATAACCGGGAGCCTGTCAGGAAGTGCCATGGTAAACTGTTTTAACAGGTAAGAAATAGCAGAGTGCGTGTGCTTGCCTGGTTTCTACATTCTGTTACGTGTATGATGTTAATCAGATGAGAATTTTGAACACAAAGCGTGATGATTATTCTAATACAATGTTAAAATGAAATTTATTAGTGTACAATAAAGAGATTTTTGCTGTTTGAATTTTCTGTCACAGTATACCCATTATGTGGTAAAAACTAAATCAAATAGCATACTTCCGGTTTTTCCTTGCATGTGTCAGATTTTATATCATAAATCAAGCAATGCTATAACTGCTTCAGTAGTAGGTATTCTTATCCTAGACCTTCTTTCTGAGGGTATCAGCTAACTGGATATTAGGAGATGAAACTTCAACAAGCCCGGGAAAAAGTGCAGTCAGGACATCAAGGAATGTACAAACTGGGGCCAGACTAGTTAGCCTGGATCCTAAAGTATCAATAGTCATTTCTCACCAAATTGTAGCAACAATCATGTAGGTCAGTAGGAAAAATTAGCATGCCTTTATTTTCCCTTGTTTCCTTCTTTGTTCACTATTCCTTACTTGTTTGTTAGCCTTGTTTTTTAATGGAGAGAAGAGTGTATTGATAAATCGATAGTTTGCATTTAAACAGAAACTGTAAGTTTTAGTAGTATACATTATCTCTTACTTAAAAATAAGTCAGCCGGGGATTTAGCTCAGTGGTTCCGCCGCCTGCCTCTCAAGCGTAAGGTCCTGAGTTTGATCTCCAGTACCAAAAATGAAAAAAGTCAGATGTGGGCTGAGGCTATAACTCATTTGTAGAGTACGTGCCTAGCATATACAAGTCCCTGGGTTTGATCCCAAGCACTGCAAAAATACATAAATAAAAAGTCAGAAGTTACTCATAGAACCATCTCTATTATAGGATTTTTTGATCTACTGACCTGTCATGTTTTAATGGCTCATAATGTATTCTGACTTTGTGCTTTGCACTGAAGCATGATAAAATACCACATCCTGAGTAAAAATAATGGTACTTATTTAAGTTAAAATCATTGTGTCCTTTTTGTGGTGTTGTCTTACTACCTCATTTGGCAAACAGCTAATTTTTCCCATTCCATTTGATAGCTGGTACTGTCTGGTGTGCTGGAGTAGAATTTGAATAATCAAGTGAGAGGAAACTGAAAAAAAATTGGTTTTTAAAAGCTTCTTATTGCCAAGGTTCTTAAGTGAATTACTTAAAATTGCATATTGTGGTAGTGCTGAATTATGTATAATTTTGATTTTTACCTGATGCCCTTCTCTTTAAGGTTGGAAGTACAAGCAGATGTGCAAAAAGAACGGTACAGTCTAAGTGGAGAGTCTGGCACAGTCAGCCTGGGAACAGTTAGTGATAATGCCAGCACCAAAGCAATGGCAGGATCCATTCTGAATTCCTATATCCCAATGGACAAGTAAGGAAAATTATGTTACAAAGTAAAAAATATTTCAGAGTTAATTTTAAAGGAATTATTCCTCTCATTGGGTGAAATTACCAGTGAATAATGATGATAAACTGTTAAATTCTCTAGGAAAATGGTGAAATGTACAGAGTAGTAGGCAAATCCACAGAGGAAGATTCATGGTTGCAAGCTGGGGGAAAGGAAGAATGGAAATTGATTTCTAATGAGTACAGGGATTCCTTGGGGGATAGTAAAAATGTTCTGAAGTTAGGTGATAATGATAGTTGCACAACTCTCAAGAAACTAGAAACCACAAGATTGTGTGCTTTAAGGAGGTAAATGCTGTGTTTATATCTCAGTATGGCTGTACTTTAAAAAATAAGGAGTAGCAAAATACCTTTCATAGCATAGCATATATATCTATAAAGAAAGTAGTATCTACTACTATTAAGAAAAAACATTATGAAAACAGTCCTCATTTCAAGTACAGTACTTTTATTTTAGTAGAATTCATCCTGCATTAATATGTTCTGACAAGTTTTTTATATACTTTTGAGTTTTTCATACAAAACTCCTTCCCCGCTGGGTGGACATGCTGATGAACACCTGTGGTCCCAGCTAGTAAGGAGGTTGAGGCAGGAGGATCTCAAATTTTATGTTAGACTGAGGCAAGACCCTATCTCAGAAAAAAACAAAACTGGAGATGAAGCTCAGTAATAAAGCATTTGCTTAGTATGTAAGTGATCCAGTGCTGCAAAAACCTCTGTTTACTATCATCTGAATAAAAATAAAAAGCCAGACATTGCAGACATTGTTTATATTTGTTACTCTTCTCTTCCAGAGAAGGCAGCAGTTTGGAAGTGCAAGTAGATATTGAATCAAAGCCATCCAAGTTCAGGCACAACAGTGGGAGCAGTAGTGTGGACGATGGCAGTGCCACTCGGAGCCATGCTTGTTCATCCAGTGGCTTGCCCGAAGGTAAAGCCAGCGCCACCAAGTGGTCCAAAGAAGCAACAGCAGGAAAAAAATCAAAATGTGGTAAATTGAGGAAAAAAGGTAACATGAAGATAAATGAGACCAGAGAGGACATGGATGCACAGTTATTAGAACAACAAAGCACGAACTCAAGTGAATTTGAGGCTCCATCCCTCAGTGACAGTATGCCATCTGTAGCAGATTCTCACTCTAGTCATTTTTCTGAATTTAGTTGCTCTGACCTAGAAAGCATGAAAACTTCTTGCAGTCATGGTTCCAGTGATTATCATGCCCGCTTTGCTACTGTTAACATTCTTCCTGAGGTAGAAAATGACCGTCTGGAAAATTCCCCACATCAGTGTAGCATTTCTCTGCTTACCAAAACTGCTTCATGTTCAGAAGTTCCACAACCAAGTCATATTGCTGAAGAACATGGTAACAGTGGACTAAAACCTAATGTTGATTTGTATTTTGGTGATGCACTGAAAGAAACAAATAATAACCACTCACATCAGACAATGGAATTAAAAGTTGCAATTCAGACTGAGATTTAGGCCCATAAGTGCTGCAAAAATAATTACCGCTGAACAACCTTGGATGGAGCTGGTTGAACTGTGTGTGACTGTAAGATTTTGTGTTACCAGCAAACGCCATTATCATAATCATAATGCAGATATATTTTCTGTGTTCAGCAGAGCATTGTGTTTCATGTGAATCGTAATTACCAAACTATGAAATGAAGGCTTTAAAAGTGCATTATTGTAAGAGTAATAAATCTTAAGAGCAAAGCATGTTTTGTGTGCTTCTCACAAAACATTGCTTGATGCACATACCTGTGTATTTAGATAGAAATTTGGCTTAATTTATAATCAATATAAAATACTAATGCAGTTCTACAGCATTCTTATAAAGAAAACTTGAGGCTTAGGGAAAAGTGGTTAGTGACATTTTATTGAAACCACTAAGGGACATTTAGAAGAATGTCAAGTTACTCTCAGTATATGATATTCTCTGTAACATTTCTATTCATAACTGGACTAAAATTTCTTTTTCTTCATATGCAATGTGAATACATAATGCTTAATGCAGCCCTTTTGCAACCATTGGATACTTAGACACATTGAGCAGGATTGTGGCAGTTTTTGCACAACTTTGAAATAAAAATACCTGGTACTCTATATATCTTGAATATTATTGATGCAATTTTAGAAGAAAAGTGTAAAGGTAGATAATTAAGTGTATTGACAACAACAAATAAGGTATATAAAACTGCAAAATAATATCCCATTCGGTTTTAAGTGTTACCAAAACAAGTCAGCTTTTACTAAGGGGAAGTTTGTACCCTACTGCTTTTTGGTGCCTTTGGGATAGACTGGGTTTTAAGGATCTAGTCATATGAACATTTTGCTCTATTATTATCCATAATGTCCTCTTTAGTCACCTTGGATTATATAGAAAAATACAGGTCGTAGATAAACGTGAATGTGATTAATAACAGTGCTGAAAAAGTATTAGCCTACCAAAGACACACTCAGGCTTTAGTGAAAAACTTCACATAACCTCAGTTTTTAACACATTTGTATCTTTTCCAACCATGAAATCAAAGCATGGTGCAGAGACTGTACCAAGTACACAAGGTCCGTGTATGGTTGGCTTTGTATCCTTTTGCTTTGTGTATGAAGATGTTCAGCTAGCAGAAGCAGAAGTTGGCCAAAATACTGCCTTTACTGTTAACTTCCCATATAATTCACTGTTAATTAAATCAGTTTAACCTCAATGATAACAGTTAAAATGTTCCACTTATGTGTTCCTTTAAGTATTACCATTATGGTGCTACTGAGCATTTCCTTTTGAGAAAAAGAAGCATGTCATGGGCTGCAAATCTTCCATCACTTTTCCTCACCGGGCCCATTAATATGTTTATAACACTAGTGCCAGCTCTTTTATTTGATAATGCTTGTTACGGTATTTGTATATTTGTTTGCATTCCAGTTTTTTTCAGTAATGAGTGTTCAACTACATACATGAAATAAATGTAAATACTAATGTATTGCTGCCTTTTTGTGTGTGCATAAATATTTTTATAAAAACAAGAATATTCAGGGCCAGGGATTTGGCTCAGGTTTCACCACCTGCCTTGCAAGCGCAAGGGCCCAAGTTGGATCCCCAGTACCCCCCCAAAATTAACTAAATAAATAAAAACCAAGAATATTCATTGGCTATGTGGTAATATTCTTACTGAGATGATTCTGCCCTCTGGTCTCAGCCCAAATGGAAACACTAAACTTTTCAAAAACGTTAGAAACTATCCTTTCTTCATGTCTAATGCTTGCTTTCCTCCTGAAGGAAAATGTTTCATGCATCAGCATAATTTAATTTGTAAAAGTCCGTTGGTTGAATTTAACTTGAGTGAATAAATCTATCATTAAATTGTTAAAATAGATCCGAATTATAAATCCCCATCTTAGAAAACTAAAAAGATCTTAAAAGACTAAGAATGAACCAACAAAATTAGATTGTGAAACTGAGGTCATTTAAATTCAAGCAAATAGTAATTAATCTATTCTTGTAGCTTCTGTGAAGCACATAAATGGTTTTTTGTTTTGTTTTCCTGGTACATAGCTAATACTGAGTGAAAATTATCTGTGTGAATATGTTGACTATCTTCTTGACATTTCTTTAAAAAGCTAAAGATGAATTGGAAAGTGAAATGATCTTTGGAGAAATACAGCAAAAGTGGTGTCATATGGGAAGCCATTGCGCTCACTTTTTGTCCCCAGCCCTCCTAATGTTCGGGCCCCAGCCAGTATCACCTCATTCTCACCTTAAAAATGATCAGCTGGCTTCAAGAGTTTCATCACCTCTGGATTTTTCAAACTCAGATTAATTTGGGACTTTAAATCTGGTAAATCTATTTAGAGCAAGAGAGTAATACCTCTGGATAGTCAAGACAAGCCTTAACTCCCTTGACATCTTTTTTAAACCCTGTCTACTTTGCTGTCTTTAAGGCCTTGAGGGAAAAAATCACAAAGTAGTGAAAGAAAACACAAGATTCAACAAGATTCTGATGTTATATCTTACTGCATCAGTTTAATTAGATTCTCTCAAATGTACACATTCCCAGCTTCAGACCACTGACTCTGTTAGCCTGTTACGTTGTTTATATAGTCCAACATACTTATGCTGAAAAATGGGGTTTATTGCCAAATACTTTCCATAGCATAATGTCTAGTGAAAATAGAGACTTGGATCACCAAGTGTGTATTGAAAGCCATCAGAGCTAATAATTCCTACATGGCATGGGAAGAATAACAACTTTGTTCCATAGATTTTTTTTTTTCGTCTTTCAGAAATAGCAATATTCTCAGGATTACATTTTTGTATGGTTTTCTTAATGGGGTTCTTTCACTTGTTTCTCTCATTTAAGTGTAAGTTATTATTAAAAGTGTTTACAGATTGGTTGATTTTAAGTGCTAAACTTTGAGTTATATTATTTGTGTAGCCATTGTTTAATAGATGAATAATGAGTTTACAAACTGTTCAAATTGAATCACTATGTATGTTTCATATGCTAGTAAAAATTTTTCTGATTTCTACCTATTTGTTCATCCAGCAAAGTAACAAAGGAGATCCTGAAGATACAACACGGCATCAAATAAACATTCTGGCTTTTGCACTTATAGTTGGGGAGAGACAAAAATAAAAACATATACAGTGGTACTTCGGTTCACAAAATTTGTTCTATAATTTTGAAAAAGATGGCCACATTTGTGTTTGTGTGGGAAAGATGGCCATAGTCATGACTGTCAGCTTATGCAGAGTTTGAAAACAAAAAGTTTTGCCAAATGCTTGTTTATTGAATTCAAATAAAAGTGTTTGTGAGCCGAGGTACCAATGTACATACACTACATACATCGCTTAATGTCAGATGAGGGCTGCTGTGAACAATGAGGTGGGGAGAGGGGAGAGCACGGAGGTTATGGGGAAGCAGTTCTGTTTGACTTACATAGAGCAAAAAAAAAGTGCCGAGAGGACATTTTCACGAAGATGTAAAGGAAGAGACCACACAGACATACGTGGTGGGTAAGCGTTTCAGATACATAACTTCAGAGTGAATTAACGCACAATGTAGACAGTGTATTTAATATCTAATAGGTAAGTTTTCCTATACATTTCTATACACCTTTTAGAATAACCTTGTCAGGTTCTATCAATTTTGACTGGGATTCCATTAAGTCTCTAAAGAACTTTTAATATCTTTTTTTTTTAAGTCTTTTAAGTTTGTTTTTGTTTTTTGTGGGTTTGGGGGTGGGGACTGGGGATCGAACTCAGGATCTTGCGAGGCAGGAGGCAGAACCACTGAGCTAAATCCCCAGCCCTAAATCCGTTAAGTTTTATCACCCCAAAAAGAAACTCTTTAGTCATTAGCAGCCTTCCCATTTTCATCTCCTCTCAGTCTCTGGCATCCACTAATTTACTTGCAAGTAGCGGGTGTTAAAATTTTTTTTTGTTTGGTACCAGGGATGGAACCTCAAGACCTTGTGCTTGCGAGGCAGGTGGCAGTGGAACCACTGAGCTAAATCCCCAGCCCTGTATTCATTTTTTATTAGTATTTGTTTGAAGTATATAATGTTTACATTCCTTGTGTGTAGTTGATACAGGCACCTAACATCTTAATTTCTCTTTTTTATCCCATTTCCTTCCATCTTGATTTCTTTTGAGAAAAATCTGTCTCCCTACTTTCTATTATCTTTTATTTTATTCTTTATTTATAATTTGGGTTTTTCATCTAAGAAAAACCATGTGATATTTAAGCTGTATGTCTGATTTATTTCATTTAACATGGTCTTGAGGTACATCCATTTTCCTACAACCAAGTTTATGGCAGAATAATACTCAATTGTGTGTAAATACCACATTTTATCCATCTGTTGATGGACATTACGAACTCCATTCACAAAGGCTAGTTATTACTCAAATTGGTTGTAAGTCAAGACTTTCCCATAAGAAATAATGGAAATACCCATAATACATTCTGAATCTCCCAAAGCACCCCTTAACTAACCTTTTCTTAATAAAAAAGATCGTATAATGTGCACAATTTACCAGAAACGCCAATAATTTTCCTAGTGTGTTCACCAAATACTTATAAAATGTGTCTAGTTTACCAGCAACAATTTCATACTGTACTCACCATTCAAGTTGACACGTTTGTCTTCAACGAGGGAGGATAAAATGGAAGATGGTTATTGTTTGGAAGGAGAATCCTCTTCCATAAGAACATCAAGAGTCTGGCTCTCTGGTGTTCTTTCTCTCCTTGGAAGAGGCTAGCCCACTGGGACCTGCATCTGCCTCACTAGGTCTCAGCGTTTTCAGAACGAGAAATTGGTCTAAGTTTGTTTCTGGCTTTTCTTTAACGTGTCTGTAAGATGACATGACATTGTCATTAAGCAAGTGAATGCAATAATTGGCTTTTTCTCTGGTTGGGTCTCTACAAATGTTTGTAACTATTTTTTCAGGATTTTCTTTGTTTGAGAACAAAGTGATTGCTGATACTACCCCTCCTCTTCAGAAAGCTCCTCAACTGCCATTCTCTTGCTCAACCAGAAGTTGCCGAAGTTCCTCTGTAGATAATTCCTCTGAGTGTTCCTCCATCTCAATATCACTATTGCCTACCTGCAAGCCTATGGACTCTGCTATAGTGTCAGTGGCATCAACCACAAGGTCACTTGAAGGCTCAGGGTCCTCTACAGAGCCTCCAGTCTCTCTCCTGTATGATTTTTGGCCACACTTTCTTCCAGGAGGACCTCAAGTGTCTTTAGAACAAGATTGGCCCAGGATTTCTCAACCCCACCAGGAAAGGATGTTGTAATGATCCCTCCAGAACTCTCTTAAAGGTTAAATCTGTATCTGAGACCCTCTGGAAGCTCTTCAGGAACAGGTCCTTGGTGTATCGCTTCTTAAAGTTAGCTATAACCTTCCATGGGTTGGTATGGAGCAGTTGTTAGGTGGACAAAACTCAACAGAGCTATAGGAATTCTTCAGTCAATTCTTCCAAATCTCATGGGTGAGCAGGAGATGAGATTATCCATGATGAGGAGAGCCTTGACTGGCAAACCTTTGTCCTAGATATTTCTTAACAGTAGGACAGAAAGCCTCCCTGATCCATTCAAGAATAATACCCTTGTTACCCAGGCTTTTGTGTTAGAGCTCCACATGAACCCTAGCCTATTCTTCATGACTGTTTCCTGAACACTCTAGGAGTCTCAGAGTGATAAACCAGGCAAGGCTCTATCTTGAGGTCACCACTCCCATTGACACAGCAATAAGGTTAGCCTGTCCTACATAGACTTGTGGCCTTGCATTTTCTTCTCTTCCTGCATAATATATGTTCTTTGGGGCATTTTCTTCCAGGAAAGGCCAGTTTTATTACAGTTGAAAACTGGAAAACAAAAGCCATTTCTGTGTCATCATTTTCAAGTGGTTTTATGTAATTGTCATCAGCCCTTTTATCAGCACTGGCAGCTTCACAATGCCTAGTTACACACTATGAACCCAAGTTCTTGCTTTAAAATTGTGAAACCACACTTCACTGGCACAAAATGTTTCACCATTATCACTCACTGATCAATTATCCTTTATAAGATCTGCATTTATAGCCCTAGATTTTTAAATAAATTATAGACAGGCAACAACCTTCTGTCTGCCTTTCATTTATCCACACTAATAGCCTTTCTATCTCATCTAACACTGTTGATGATGACTTACTAATGTGAGTGACACTTTTGCCAATAGTAGCTTTATATAAATTTTTGTAAGGATGTCAGGATGGTAGATTTCAACATGCTGTACATATTAGTGAGATCAGTCACACAAATGCCACTCATATTTCCCCACAATTTCCTTTTTTATTGTGATTGCTTTATCTTCCTGTCCTTCCTTAGCTTCTTTTCTAGCTTTTTGGAGGCCATCTTGATAATAGTAATTGTCACAATTATATAAAGCACTGACTGAAATCACATCCACAAATACAAGCACATCTGGGCTCAGACTGATGCTTACATATGCTTATTTATACTTTTCTGGCATTGCAAGTCTTTGTTTACAGCCACACAAGCCACTGGCATTCTGGTGGTAACTCAAGACTGGTTATAAGTTAAAACTAAAATTCTAGTTATAATCCAAGTTGTCTGTATGTAAGGCCAGTTGTAACTCAAGGGTCCACTGTACAGGCTACTTCCAAGATGTAGCTATTATGAATTGTGTTGCTATAAAAATGGGAATGCATGTATCAGTCTAATATGATGTCTTGAACATTTTTAGAAAGATAACCTAGAAGGGGAATAGCTGAGTCAAATGAAATTCCTAGTTTTCATTTTTTGAGGAATCTCCATACTGATCTCCATAGTGGTTGTACTAATTTACATTCCCACCAACAATGTCAAAGTCCCCCCCCCTCCCCAGCCTCACCAGCATTTATTGATTTCTTGGTCATAGCTCTTCTTTCTGGAATAAGATGGAATCTGTGTTGTTTTTATATTTCTCTAATGGACACTGATATTGAGCATATCTTCTTGTACTTATTAGCCGTTTGTCGTTTGGGGGATCTTATTCTGGAGTACTGGGAGGTCTAATTTTTGAGGTCTGAGGAGTAGAGCTGGCCAACATGTTTCCCCCATTCTGTAGGTTGTCTTCCCAGTTACCTATTTCTTTTGCTGTCTAGAAGCCTTTTAATTTGCTGTGGTCCCAATTGTTGATTCTCAGTACTATTTCCTATGCAACTGTTCAGAAAGTCCTTGCCTACACCTGTGACTTCAAGAGTTTTACCCGTTTTATCTTCTAGCAGATTGTTTCTATTTTAACATTTAGTTCTCTGATCTACTATGATTTTAGTTTAGTGTATGGTGAGAGTCATTGGTCTAGATTCAGTCTTCTGCAAGTGGAGAGCCAGTTTTCCCAACACCACTTTGCCGTTTACCTTCTGTCTCTAGATTTGTCAACTCTGGACATTTCATATAAGTGCAATCGTAAAATGTGACCTTGTCACTTAACCCTTTCAAGGTTCATCCATCACTTCATCCTGTTATGGCTGAATAATACTCTATTATGTGGTTATAACATATTTTTGTTTATACATTCATCAGTTGATGGACATTTGTTTCTTCTTTGGGGCTATTATAAATAATGCTGTTATGAAAGTGTGTAAGTTTTCTGTATGAACATAAGTTCTGTTTTCTTGGGTGCAGCACTGAAAGTTTCAGAATTGTTACATCCAGTAAAGGGAATAAATGGCAATTGTGTCAACTTTTTTGAGGAATTGTTTTCCAAAGCAGCTGCACCATTTTAGTATACATGGTTTCTAATTTTTCCACATTCTTGCCCTTATTTTTTATTATCTTTTTTAGTATAGCCATCCTAGCAAAATATTTACCTTCATTTTGGAACATATATGATTAGGATTAAGATTGTTTACAGAAATAGTCCTTCCAACCCACTGCTTAACCACAGCAAATAGCTGTTACTATTTTACAGGTAAGAAATAGACATGAGTTCAAATGACAGGAAATAAGATTAAATTTTCAGCTATTTTTGGATATAACTTAGAGTACTATTAAAACTTTAAGGGGGCCAAGTTGGGCATGGTGGTGCACACCTGTAATCCCAGCACTCGAGAGGTTGAGGGAGGAGGATCGCTGAGTTCGAGACCAGCTAGATAGTAAGACCTTGTCTCAAAACACCCCCCCAAAAAATCCTTTCTCATAAAACTTTAAGGGGGCCAAGCATGGCCTGTAACCCTAGCACCTGTAACCCTAGCACTGGAAAGGCTGAGGCAGGAGGATTAGCGCAAGTTTGACCCAGCCTGGGTTACATAGTGAGTTCAAGGCCAGCCTGAACTACATAGCACACAACTCTAAGGAAAAGTAAAAAAATCAATCCAAATTGCTTTGGAAGCCTCCAATCTGGCTTCTGCCTGCTGCTCAGTGTTAGGTACCTGCAGATTTAGTGAGACTTTCTAGGGCTCAGGATACCAGAGATTATACAGGAAGCCCAGTCAGTCCTCCTGAGCTCTTCCTCCCTGTCAACCTGAGGCTATTTCAAAAGCTGGCATAGACTTTTTAAAAACATTTTTATTACATTAACTCTACTTGGCCATTTCACACCTGTGACCCTAGAACATTTCACTGATACTTTTTTCCTACTAGAGACTCTTTATACTTGGTGTTACTGCTGAGTTTTTCCAAATTAATCATAAGCTCATTAAAGACAGGAGTTATCACTCCCAATGCTTCATTTAAAGGGTCAAAATTCATTCAGTCCACTTACAGCAATTATGCACTTCTGATATTGGTCACTGTAAATTCCAGATTGTTAGCCAGTAGGCCATACACTCCAAGTTGCCAAAGAATCACAAGAGCTCTGTTCAGATTCCCAGACTCTTTAAGATTCCCAAGTGATTTATGCAAACATTCCAAGAACCACTGTTTGAGAAATGGAGTGTCATCACAGTGTCTCTAAAAAACTTCTTTCATCTGAACTCTGGAATGAGCACTTTTTAAGGCACTATCCTCTAGTTGCATTCGGTCAAGAAATATTTGCTAAGCAACCTCCACTATACAGTGACTACAGTGATGGCTTGCCCTCAAAACAACAAATTGGGAAAGAAAGATCTTGCTATTATTGTAAATAGTCTGAAGCTCAGCCTGTTGATAATCTCTTAGCTGTTGTAACCTGACCAATTTCCACAAGATGGCACCAAAGCCCAAGGGCCAGCCACTAATCTAGGTACAGTATTTGCACTGGAGTGTCTTGATGTATATCTGTGGCCTAGTAGATAAAGGTGTCTGCAGTATCTGAAGAGCTTTCTTACCCTTTTCTAAGAACATGGCAGCTGGAAATCAGTATATTTAGAGGAAGGGAGCAATCACTGTCATCCATTGCCCAGTGATCGGGATACACCCTAAGCAAGGCATCACTGGTGAGTGCTGTGTGCACACCACGGTCCTTACACAAACTAAGCCACAGCCTATGAGACTACTGTATGTATGTGTGTATGTGTGTGTAATACAGTCCCATCATTTACTTCTATAAAGGTAAAGATATTGAAAAGGAGAAATCTGTATCTTGCAGACCAAAGTACTCACTATACCAGTAGATTTTTCACTCATGAACAAAGAAGAGAACAGTTTGAAAGAAAAAAATGATACAGTTTTGAAAGTCACCATTTACGTTATAAATTACCATTTACATGATAATTCTGAAAATATTCTGTAATTATAAAGGACATGGCTATGGAAACAAAGTGACATTAATCCTTCATCGTCACTTTTAAATAAACAGGAAAAAACTCCTAAAAAGGGAAATTGACTATAGACTACAGGAATGAGTAGCTGATTTAGGACCTTAATATTTTATTGCAAGAAATACCTTTTTTAAACCCAGTTAACAAAGGAGTTTACAAAATAAGTTCTTTACTTCCCCTTTTTATAGTAAAGCAATAAATAAAGCCATGAACACAGAAAACAAAGGCAGAAGCATACATTTAAATGGAGAAAACATGAAGGTGACAATTCAGATATAAATGCAAGCTCAGTTTGCTTTTACATAGTGGTTGTTTTGCTTATATAAGCAATATATAAGAGAAAGTCATTTTTAATGTAAAAAGAGGTAAAAACTTTTGGCAATTTTTATTCTTAATCATTAGGCAATGCTTCCATTATTAGAAAAAAATAAGTTCCTCTCAGGGCACTAAATTAATTAGACTAATAATCAGATTATAGACTTCAGAGTTGCATCATATTTTAAGTGATTGAAATCCACTAATATAAAATGGGATTACTTAGCAGGCTATAAAAGTGACATAATAACCAGGGTTAATGACTTTCAGTTTTAAAAGAGAACTTTAAAGAAATTTAGTCCCATAAAAACTTTAGAGGACTCCACAGCCTAAAGAAATGCTATTTAACTGAAATATTTAGGGCTGGAGATTTAGTTCAGTAGTTCCACCACCTGCCTTGCAAATGCAAGGACCCAAGTTCTATCCCCAGTACCAAAAAAAAAAAAAAAAATTTGAAATATTTAACAGGTAAGTTATCAAAAGAAAATGTGTGCTATAAATTAAAATGTATTTTTAACACATTCAAAATACACTTATTAAATATAAAGATGGTTCTGGTACATAAAATATTTACAACTAATAAAAAGCAGGTTATGGAATATACACATTCTGTGTATAAAAATAAGAATGTCTTATAGTTCAGACCAAGGGATTTTTATAATCCAGGTTTTATCCATGCAACTATTACAGTACCATCTCATGAGCATTGCTGGAATACATACATTCATGGAAGGAGTTAACAGTAGTCTTGAGCTAAAGCCCATACAGTTCTTTTAGGGCTTGTACATCTTCTAAAGTAAAATGGCTGTTTGACGTGTCTGAAAGATCATTCAGCAGCTGTTCAATTTGCTCCTTGTGGTGCTTGCTAATGAGCATCAGCATCATCTGAAGGGAAGAAAAAGTGATACCAGTAAAAAAAAAATGTACATTTTAAAAGTTTTAGAAACCTTGAAAAAACTCAATCTCTATTAATAAAATACTTTGCCACTTACCTTAAACCTATCTGCTTTACTGAGACACAAAAGATGCTGATACACCAAGGCAGGGTCTCTATCAACAAGACGATTTTTCAGAGACTGAATGAGGAGGAGGAATATATCCCCTTCAAGCTTGTTACTCAACAGCACTGGCAAATCTTCTGGTGCAGTGATGGCTAGAAGATGTGCACAGGCTTCTTCATCTTTCCTGGTACTGATAGCGTTTATTAACTGACCGAACTCATAGGCATTACTCGGCCTGGAGATCTGAAGTGGCTCAGAGTGCTCTGGTGGTCCAGGGCTTTCCTCGCCCTTCTCAGGGGCCAGACAGGCAGTGGAGACCTCTGCTGGGTTTTCTTCAGGCTCCTCTTCATTGCCTTCGTTCACCTTCACAAGGAAAAGAATGACACCTTGACACTGCGTGACAGTCACCGCACATATCCTAAGTTACATGTGTCAAGATGGAAACTGGAAACCACGAGTAGACTGTACTCTAATCAAGTCCTTAGTAAAAAATCTAATTCATAACAAATTGTAAAATCTGCAGTTTCTTTAGGAAAAGTTTTAGGTTTTCCTAAAAATATTCTTCTGTAAAGTTTTTCAAAGCTATCTGACATTGAAAATTTAACATAATTCTAAAACTTTCCATGAGTAAAAGTGTGCAAAGAGGGAAAATAATTTTTCTCCTGCATGATAAATTTTACATTTACTGTTCCTTACCCTTAACAGAGAAGTGAGCTTGTATTTTTCAGTTCTCTTAAAATAGCTTTTTTTTTTATTCCCTTCATTAGAGGGAAAAATACTTTCAGCTTCTCTTGCCTATGAGCCTCTTAGTAAACTTAAGACCATCAGTGGAACTATATCCATAACATTCATGAAGGTACAGAAATCTGTGCCTGACATTCTTCATGAATGGCAAAGGAAAACATTTGGTTTGTCAGAAATAACAAAGGCTGGTGTTACGGTTCTATCTCAATGTCCCTCCAAAGCCTCATGCGCTCATGGATGGGGCTTTGGGAAGTGACTGGATGGTGGATAAGTCTACTGATGACTTTACAGTTAAATGTGACACTGGGGGTGAAGCCTGGTCAGAGGAGGTGGGTCACGGGATGTGCGGCCTGGGAGGATCTATGTCTTCCCTTCACCCTCTCTCTGCTCCTGGATGCCACGCCATGAGCTCTTCTCTATCACGCCCCTCTGCCAAGCCGCCCTGCCTCAGAGCCAGTGGAATATGGACTGAACCTCTGCAAACTGTGAGCCAAAATAAACAAAATAGAGCTTTTCTCCTTAGAGTTGTCATGTCTCAGCGATGGGAAAGGAACTAAGGCCGAAGGTTTGACTGCGGAAGTCCCAATCCTCTGAGGAGCAGATCTTAGCTCAGAGTGCTAAAAAAAGTTCATCTGAAAAATCATGGGTGTGGCTTGATTCAGTTGAAACTGAGTCCTGTCAGGATTCCCCAGCTCTACCCTGAAGAAAAGTTTGATGGCTGAGGGCTACTAGTGCACCACAGAAGGGAGCAGGACAATTCACAGGCCAGGGAGAGTAGGCAAAGGAGGGAGAGCTTCGGCAACACAGAGCCCATTACTAACCGCAGGCCCATACTGGGAAGAAAAATGGCAATAACCGCTGCAAATGACAAATGTTGTCTTTATAACTCGCTAAGTTTCTCCATGATCATCACAAGAAGAACAAAAGATTGTAGAACTCATAAGAATATGACCTTAAAACCTCTATAAAATCTCCAAGAGACCTTTCAAAGATAATAAAATACAAATACCTCTTGAATTTCTATTTTCCGTCTCTCTTTTTCTTGGTTGAATGGTGCTATATTATCTTTAAGGAATCTGGTTACCTCTTCCAGCTCCATCTTTGCCTCAACAATATTTGGGTTTAGTAAGAGAACTTTCTTGAGGTCAGTTAAGCTTTCCTGGTAATTCTGAAAGGAGGAAGACGCAGAAAATAATTTTCATAAATAGAAGATGGGACCTTCCTCGATTAGCCTGAGTGACACAGTGAGTGTGTGCAGGGCAGCTTCCACCAGTACCACTCTCGTCGGCCTATGGGCAAGTCTGCCGCTAAGACAGTAAAGCCTGTAATACAGCCAGCATCTGCTGTAAAAGAAGGAACACAGGAAGTGGGCTGTGAAGACTCGAGTTCCATGCTGTATCACCACAACCTTCCCCGTCCTTAGCACATGGTAGGCATTCCTCTGCTGGGTGAATATATAAAACAATAAACCGCCTCATTATGCCCTACCAACTACCAGCAAAGATCCTACTTAACCTTTCTGAGCTTCGGTTTTCTCATTTTTAAAATAAAAATAAAAGTTCTACTTTTCACAAGGCTTTACCAAAGAATAAATGAATGCATAAAGTGAGTGGGCTAACATAGTCATGATGGGGCTGTAATTCACACGTCTCACTGCCAGGCAGCTTGAGCTACCAGTGGTATGTGCATGTTCAACCTGGAAGGGTTACATAGATTGCCATTATTACAGAATTCTTGTTCCACGAAACCCTTCAGAGTTGCTTAGTGTCCAAAGTAGGCCACTGTCAACCTTTAATGTCACCCAAGGGTCAGACAAGGCACTGAAGAGGCTGAGGGCAAATAAAGAGAATCTATGATTATTAAGCATGGCTGCCGAATCTGGCAGAGAAGATGGAGGCCACAAATCCAGTCTACAGGGACAAGCCAGGCTGTAGCACTACACAGTACATCTATTTTTTGGTTAAGCTAAATTACCAGGAGGCAAAGAACTACAATAACATGTAACCTGCTTTTATTGGGGGGTGGTACTGGGGATTGAAGCCAGGAAATGCTGAACCCTGCCCCACCTCCAACCCCCCACCCCCTTGAGACTGGGTCTTGCCCAGGTTGGCTCGGAGTTCAGTCTTTCTGCCTTAGCCACCACGCCCAGCGGAATCAGGACACATCAGCGCCAGGATGCCAAGGAAGCTGAGCCCCAGATAAGCTAAGCTACTGATTCTATGACATTCCTAAGAGACTGGCTGGAATGACACATGCCTGCCTCTGCCCCAGCAGCACACCACACCAAGAAGACAGCTTACAGGAATCTGCTCTGATGGGGAGGGGAGGGAGGCTGTTTTATATTGTTTTATTTTGGTTTTTCTGTTTTTGAAACAGGGTCTCCCTATGTTGTTCAAAATGGTCCTGAATTCCCTATGTAGCCCAGGCTGCCCTCAAACTCCCAGTGATCTTCCTGTCTCAGCTTCCTCAGTGCTGGGATTACAGGTGTGTGCCATCGTGTCATTGTTTGTTTGTTTGTTTTAGTACCAGTGATCACACTCAGGACCTTGCACTTGCCAGGCAGGCGCTGCGCCACCTAGCTACATCCCTGGCCCTGCTCTAATTTATTTTTAAAAAGGTAAATTGTTTGCAAACTATATTACATTATGTACTAGTAACAAACCTCCACATACCTCTCTGTGTTACAACAGCTCAATCAGAACCTACTAGAAAAAAAAAATCAAAACTGACACTGCTTAATGGGATACCTAAGTGTCCTAGGCAACGAATCATTTGTAAAAGGCAAGCTGAGGGAGCCAGCCCTCAGCACTCCAAGCATTTGGTATTACTTGACTCTTATAGCAACCTACAAACATTCTCTTACATGATTCCCATTTTAGAAATGAAGAAACTGAGGTATGCAGAAGTGAGCTTTGAGATGACCAAGTAAGGTGATGATAATCCAGTATGGAAGTCAAGGGTGAGGTCTGAAAACCAAGCTCTGGGAGCTGCAGCCTTGGAAATGAAGACCAACACATGGGACTGGACAGGGTCGTTTTTACCCACTCAAGAAAGTCTGCCTGGAGAGCAGCTGGTGTGGTCAGAGCAGACCTTAGAAACAGGAAGCCCACTTTGATTAGTGCTAACTAGGGAGGCAGGACAGCAGGAAGCAGGGGACAGCACCAGGCAGTGGAGGGTCCCTTCACCTCAGGGGTCACTAAGCAGTCCCCGTGCGCAGAGCGGGGAGCACTGCGACACAAAGGACAGCCTGGGGAAGCCACGGTCCTTCGAGGGGAAACAGTAAAAAAGGCAAGTCGGTAAGTCAGTAAATAGCTATGTAGTGCTGTGATACAATTAAAAGCACAGGATTGGGATGACAACAGGCGAACAGTCACCTTTTGCTGCAGTTGTCAGAGAAGTCAGAGGAGGAGAGGAAGCAGCTCGGCAGGTGTGGAGGGAAATACAGATAGAGTGTGGCTTGGGCAGAAAGGAGCATATTAAATGACGCTGATAACCTCAGCAGGCCTTTAAAAAACAATGTTACATTTGCTGGCTATATTTACTATTAACAGACATGCCCCAACTATAAAAGTAGCAACTATTTCAAAAGGTTTCATTCTTTTTTCAGCTTATCACATTCTCTATCATGCAGCTCCTTAGGCAGTGCTCCGTCTCATTCATCTCTGTACTAACAACACCGCCTGTGGCCGGCACTCAGAGGGGCCTCTGAAGAACTACCGCGCATATTTTTCAGAACAGCATGTGCCGCAGACACACTATTGAAACCAGCTAGAAACAAAACAAAGATCGGAGGAAGCAGAAAGTTCTGCTGGGAGCCCCGGACAGGGCACTGGTACCCACAGCCCCTGGGCCACTTCTTCCTTTCAGTCACCGCACAACGGGACCCAGGCATTAGAAGCAGTTGTGGCCTCTGAAGCTCCTGAAACTAAACTCACTTGGCACATACGGCAACCCACTGGACAGAGAAGCCATTTAAAGTCAAACCTGAAACACAAGCTACCAGCCTCATGATCCAGTGGGGTGGGATCACTCAAATTTGGGATTCTCTTTCTGCATTATAATAGATTTTCTAGAATTTATCCTAAGTATAAAATTTCAGACAATTACCAGGTAAAGCTTCTGACCTTTAGGCAGCTAAAAGGGTTCAAAGAGACAGGCAGGCAGTACAAGGTAGAACTGCTTTAAGAATTTGGACATTGTACATACATTCATGCAAATCTATCATTTGACCAAGTCCATTAGCTCTTCAGATGGTCCTCATTTGGTCTGTAATGATATGGCAATGATAATGGCAGCCCCCTCCCAGCAAAACTAGACAGTTCTCAGTCAGTGATGGGCAAGGAATGGAAAGAACTATCTCCCTTCCCCAAAGTCCATAACAAAATGCATAAGAATAGCACAGTAGCTTTATCCGTAACAGCCCCAAGCTGGAAACCATGTGTCACCAACCGGGATGTACATAAACAAATCCCGTTCATACAGCTCAGTGTTCAAAAGATACAATTCCTAGCGGCTGGGGATTTAGCTCAGTGGTGCCGCCGCCTGACTCTGGATGTGCTCGCTGAAAAAAAAGAGTGGAGTAGTGTACCTTTATGGCAATGTCAAAAAGAAGCAAAATTGCAGCAATAGAAGTTAGATAAATGGAACCAGGATGGTGGCACACTTATGTAATCTCAGCTGCTCAGGGGACAAGGCAGGAAAAACACAAGTTCAAGGCCGGTGTTGAGCCACTTAGCAAGAGCCTGCCTCAGAAGAAAGTTTAAAGAGGCCTAAGTGGATGTAGGTCAGTGCTCCCTAGGTTCAGCCCAGAGTACCGCTAAATAAATGAATGAATAAATAAATAAGCAAATAAAATAGAGGGAAAGTGTGGAGAGGCAGCTTGCAAAGGGGCATGGAGAACCTTCTGAAGAGAGGTAAGTGTTCTTCATCTTGATTGAGATGGTGGTAACAGGAGGAAAACACTTTGTCAAAAGTCAGTATATAATGTGAATTAAGATGTGAGTCACATCGTAATAAAATTTGATTTTTAAAAAATTTCAAGAAGCACATTCTCTACTATTTCTGTTTTTCCTGGTGGTCTTATTTTCTACATACATAAACACTCATTTGTGAAGGATTCCATGTAGAAGAATCTACAGAGGAAATGTAACTGCGCAACACCCGTTCTTCCACATGGTTTTCGGAGAGAATGCCCTTCTGCAGCCTCACCGAACGACAGCCAGCTCCAGCCCCGGTCACCATAAGCATATAAGTCTCATACATCACCAAAGTCCCTGGGGGGCCCACCTTCCACGTGGATGCCTTCCCAGCCCCACTTCTGACCCCATTCTTTGCCGGAGGAACCAGCTGGCATTGTGGGCGGCTTTCAGGCATTCAGTAACACTCTCCCCTTAAAAGTGAACCTATCATACCTAATATCCTCCTTAGAAAAGCAGAGAATCACAATTTTTAACTGGAAAGAATGCCATAAGCCATTCCCATTATCACACGGGGTGAAATGTGAATCCTATTCCAAGGTTTGGGGACTGGTTAGTATAGTTACTAGGATAAAATCCCAGATAATCTCACTCTCATCCCATGATCCCACGCTTTAGGATCCGAAAAACCATTTGATTTGTTCAGAGCTGAAGTGTGCGTGTGAACACACACGGTGCCCTCACCTTGAGCCCTTTGTGAGCCAGCGCTCGCCGGTAGCAAGCTTTCACATTCCCGCCATCGAGACGAAGCGCCCGGTCACAGTCCTGCTTGGCCTCTTCAAACTGGCACAGCTTCAAGTAACAGAGAGCTCTGGCATAGCACAAGGGAACAGGGTATTAGGAAAGGAAAGAGAGCACACCTGCAAATTTAGACAGCTTGTCAAAATCGGGAAACAGCCAAGTTTATACCACAGTCGTTCAGCAGGAACTTGGCGCATGACTCCCTCATGCCGCTATCTTGTACTGTGTGAGGTGACAGCACTGGGCACATAAATGCAAACAAAACACAGCCCCTGCCACTGCAGCCAGGGAGGAAGGGTCCCCATGGGAAACCAAGCGGCAATGCTGCCCATCCTCCAGAGGACTGTTGGGTTTAGTGACATTTTGGGCAGACAGTTGCCAACAGAGGAAAATGTTCAAACCATGGTGAGAAGCTATTAAAGATTTATCTAAAATAGCTAAGAAAATGCCTAGAACCGGTCCTTTATTCCTCCTGTCACTCCACATCCTAAACACTGCCTTAAAAAAAATCCCCAAATCACACTTTAGAGTGGTTTTTGTTTTTTTGAAACAGGTTTTGCTGTATGGGTCAGGCTGGCCTCGAACACACTACATAGCACAGGTTGACTCAAACTTGTAGGAATCCTTCTGCTCCAGCCTCCCAAGTGCTAGGATTACAGCTGTGCCCCACAATGCCCTGCCAGAGTGGTATCTCTGACCATATATGGTAAAGATGGCTTGTGAGCAGTGTTCTAGAATCATCTACCTGCTCCTACTACACACCATGAAAGACGCTGGTCCCTTCCCTCAGCATTTCAGAAGAAAGGGGCCTTGCTTCTCCGACACCATTCTAGCTCACAAGGACCCAGTGACCCAGACATCAGACCCCCGCCCTGCTATACTGCATGTTTGCACAACTCCCTGGTCGCCTCTTTCATACACTCACCGAGGACAACTTGCCACATACATGCCTACAACCATGACAAAACACTTTGGCAAAAATTAATTTTTGTCAGTTAATTTTATTAAGAGAATAACTTATTTTAAAATTATTACTTTAAAAAAGTACTGAGAAATCTATAAAATCACAAAGAACTTGCCTATTTGTATATATGGCACACTCCTCACTGTTAATCTGTAAGCACTCAGTGTATTTACTAAGGGCATCTTCAAAGTTGCTGTCCTTTGCATATTGATTTCCTTCTTCCCTAAGGGCGTGAAACATGTCTTCATCTACGGGACAAAATTTTTAAAAAGAGAAAGCAAATATTCATATTAGTGCCTCTACATCTTTAAATACAGCTATAAATTGACTTGGTCACTCACCACGCTGGTCTCAATGGAACTCTGATACAAATCAAGAAGACAAATCCAGGGATTTAGCTCAGTGGCGCTGTGCCTGACTGGCAAGCACAAGGTCCTGAGTTTGATTCCCAGTACCAGAAACACACACACACACACACACATTGAGAAGACAAACTGGCTAAAGTAAAACTATATTATTATAAAACCATTATTTTCAAATATTAAGTAAAATACAAATAATTCTGCCATGTTATCCATATTGACATGTGTCGTTTTCTCTCCTGGATTCTAGAGATTTTTAAGAGGCCAGAACTACCTGAGAGGGACAGAATTAAGCCAACCAAGGACACCAGGACACAGGTGACCATGTGACAAGAACTAGTCTCAAATACGACTGATCATAAAAAGCAACAAAACCACAGCATTTTATTTCATTTATTTCATTTACTTACTTTTTGGCAGTCCTGTGGACAGAACCCAGGGCCCTACGTATGCTAGGCAAACACTCTAACACTGAGCTCCATCCCTAGCCCTATTCATTTTACCTTTGAGACAGGATCTCTCTCAGTTGCTCAGGCCAGCCTTAAATTTATAATCCTCCTGCTTCAGCCTCCAGGATAGCTGGTAGTATACAATTACTCTGTAACCCAATCCACTGCCTCACACAGCACTTACACACAACAGTACAGGGCCTTTTTGACCTTTCATTAAGCTGGAGGTGTGGTGGAATCAATCTTTGAAACATGGATACAAATAGCTTTAGTGGGCAAATCAACAATTATTTCTTGAGTAATGTCAAACCAACCTCTTAAAGGCAGAAGTGGGCATCTACCTAGCACCCCAGGCTTCCTGCTGTTCATTCATGTTTCTCTTTCAGCGTTTCTTTAGGCTATGGTCTACTCAAGAGCTTAATTCTTTTTCTTCTTAGTAATACTGCAAATTAACATTCATTTACACAGTCAGCACACAAATCAACTATTGTACAGACATGCCTCCCTTTCTTCCTGAGAACCACCTCCTCAGGCAGCTATCCAGGTCCTCCTTTCCTATACTCCAGAACATGGGAGCTGTGTAGCAATTTTTAAACTATATTTTGAGACAGGGTCTCACTGTGTAGTTCAGGCTGGCCTTGAACTCATTGTGATCCTCCTGCCTCAGCCCCCAACTGCTGGGATTTCAGGTGTGTACCCACCTGCCCAGCTTTGAAGCAAATTCTTGAGGCCACATAGTTAAGAAGAGAGAGAAAGGGGTCTTAAACTCTGATGCCAGAGTTCAGGATCCTCTTGCTGTCTCTCTGCTTTACTGTGGAAATAAACACGTGGACCAAGACACCCTGACCCTGCAGGACGGAAGAACGCAGATTCCCCGCACCTGAGACGCTGGACGTGGGGCAGCTGCTGGGGTCTCCTGCTTGGTTGGGGGTGGCCTGTGATGCAGGACACCATGAGGTGGGCACCGCAGGAATGGGTGACAGCTTCTCCCGCCAATTTGGTCCATCCAGCTCCATTAAGATTTTTGTTATTCTAAAAAGAAAAGGAAGGGCTCCGATGTAGCTCAGCGGTTCTGCCACCTGCCTCCCAAGTGCAAGGTCCCAAGTTCGATCTCTGGTACCAAAAAATGAAAAGAAAAGGAGTTTCCCCTATCGATCATGCAGTTCGCTTTTATATCAGTGAAAGTCAGATCAATAGCAAGACCACAAATACCACGCCTGAGTGTGCTTCCTTGTAGAAAAAATACGATCTTGAGCTATTTTCTGTTCACATAAACTAAGATGTTTTCAAAAGGACCCTCAGAAGCTGTCCTTAGTATTGTAACTTTAGACCGTTTTCTTTCCTTTTTTTCTTGAGGAGCCTGCTGTGCTGCCAGGTTAGCCTTGAACTTTAAATCCTCCTGCCTCAGTCCCTCAAGTAGCCTGGATTACAGGCACCTACCACTAAACCTGGCTAAACCATTTTCAAATCAAAACAAAAAAAATCAAGACATTTTAAATTTGCTTAAAATTTGATAACATATACATGACAAAATTTTAATTTTTGAAAAGGTGAAATACAAAACAGGCCTAAAAGAAATACCCATGATAATATTTAATGCAATTATTAAATGTATACCTCTCAAGGATAATTACAGTATTTCAGAAATTCCTTACATGAACTGTACACTACAGTGATGGAAGACAAGCTTGCAAGACCAGTGCTCACTCATGAGAGTTGGCTGCATCTGGGATATGCGGCTCCTCAAAACACTGCCGCGTGTCCAGCTAGTCCTTGTGAGACAAGCCACTTATTTTCTTTTCATATGAATAAAGATGAAAAAATAGACTATTTTAGTATTTTTTACGAATCCTTATGCTAATGAGATCTATGAATAACCATCATAAAATTGATATTAAATCCTTAACTATCACTTTCTCATTATTTTAAACATTAAAAATGTTACACTTAGATTTTAAAACAACATTGAATTGTGCCTTTGGAATGAATCTACTTTTTCAAAAAAGCACTTCCCAAGACTGAGAGGCTGTATTGGTAATTAACAAAATACATTCCAGTTAGCTTAAATCTATGGGTTCACGTACATTCCATAGGAAAAATGTTTATATTTACATATAGACTATTATAATACACATATTTCCCATTTCTTAAATGGAAATTTCAAAGTGATCTTTGGTTATAATAACTAAATCTCATTGTTTTATTGCAAAAAAAATTGAAAATTAATGTATTACCACCCACAGTTGCAGAATAAAAAAAAGCTTTTGAAAAAGGAATTTTTAAGCAAAACTTGTATTACCAGTAGAGAGGAAGGAAGGAGCAGATGAAAAGAGATGAGGTATTGCCAGGGAGAAAATGTTATGCAAGGAAATGTAATGTTAAGATTCCTGGAGAGGAAGAGAGGAATATGGTTAATGGAAGAGAGAAACAAAATAAGCACAGATGCTTAAATTTAAAAAAAGAAAAGAAAAGCAAGGCGCTGATACTTAATTTTCCACAATGAACTGAAATAGATGGGAAAGCAGGAATACATACAAGATTTACAAAAAGAATACTGTGTTTTTTGGGGGGGTACCAGGGATTGAACTTGGGACCTTGTGCTTACGAGGCAGGTGGTAGAACCACTGAGCTAAATCCCCGGCAGGAATAGTGTGATTTTAAAAATTGATATTTTATATATTTTTAAGTGGCAGAATTACATAAGGCCTCTTCATCTTTTATAAAACAAAAGTTTCAACAAGGACCATTCAATTAAAAAAACAATGGGTACTTAAAAGTCAATTGGTGGGGTTAGGGATTTTAGCTTAGTGGTACCTCACACCTGCCTTACAAGTGCAAGGTCCTGAGTTCAATCCCCAGTACCAAAAAAAAAAAAAAAAAAAAAAAAAGAAAAAGTCAATTGGTATGAAAAAAGCCCTTCTATAAAAAATAGGATACAAACCTCAGACAATTAAACATAGAATCACTATATGAGCCAGCAGTTCCACTCTTATGCATATACCAAAGGGAAGTAAAATCAGAAACTTATCCATGAACATTCAGAACCGCACTATTCACCGCCGGAAGTTAGAATCCACCCAAACGTCCATCAACAGCTAAGTGGGCAAACAAGGAGCAATAAGCACAGACAGTAATGGGGCATTTTTCAGCCATAAAGAGAAACGAGGTGCTAATCTTTGCAAGACCATGAATGAACCCTGAGAAGGTGATGCTAAGTGTCAGGCACCAAACACTAAACGTCACACAGTCCATGATTCTATGTAAGCGAAATATCCAAAATAGGTAAATCCACAGAAGACAGAGAGTGGGCTGGCAGTGGCAGGGGTGGGGAAGGGACAATGCAGTGACTGCTCAATAGGTACTGACTTCCTTCTTGGGTTAAGAAATGTCCTGGAACTAGAAGAAAGTGGAGGTTGCACAACCCTGAGTATACTAAATGCTCCTGAGCTGCACACTTTAAGGCAGCTACCTTTGTCATGTTGAGTTTTATCTTAACTTTTCTTTTTTTTTGTACGGGGGATCGAACTAGGGTCCTCACACTTGCCAGGCAGGCGGCAGAACCACTGAGCTAAATCCCTGGCCCTTATCTTAATTTTTCTTAATAAAAGTATTGCACAGAAACTTGAGAATAAGAGTGATCATAGTCTCTCCGACATGCTTCTCCCTTTAACCCATTGGTCAGTTACTACAAACCATTCAACCTGCCACTTGGTTTCCAGGTACTGGAGACTGAACCCAGGGCCTTTACCCTGAGCCCCATCTCCAGCCCTTTATATTCAATTTTGAGACACGGTCTCATTAAATTGCCCAGGCTGAGCTTGAAATTGCCATCCTCCTGCCTGAGCCTCTGGAGTGCTGGAATCACAGGCCTGCACCACCATGCCTGGCTCTGAAATGCATCTGCATGGGCCCCTTCTCTCAGTCAGATGTTTGATGTTTCACAAGATCCTCTGGATGAGAAGCTCCTCTTTTGTCCAACTACATTTTGATTTTAAGGAGTTCCTAGTACAGCGGCAGAAAGGAATTTCACAAAAAGAAAATGGGTACCCAACCAGGGTGGGTAGTGAAAGGCAGTCAGTGTCAGGGGCACTGAGAATGGGAACCTAAGGTTCTTGCAGGGGACGGGGAGAGCTGGTGAGTCAGGGAAAGGCACTTCCTGTAGGAAGCAAGTTCTCTCCTAAAGGATGCGATGCAGCCAGCCAGATCCAGTGGGACAGGGCCTTCGGACAGAGGGAGATGCCAGGCAGAGATGCCTGACTTAAGTGGCTCCCGATCAAGGAGGCCACATATGTCTGAGGATGAGTCTTGTCCCACTCTGTTACAAACGACCAATATGGGCTGCAATTCTCTCAATCAAATGCTGGGGACCAGGAGTACTTTGGATTTGGGACTTTTTTTCAAAGAATTTTGAAATTACAGTAAATGTAATGTGATGTCATGGGGGCAAGGCCTAAATCGATTCATTTGTTTCATATACACCTTGTACAAATAGCCTGAAGGTAATTTTATGAGTATTTTTAGGGCATCTGAATTTTTTTTTTTTTCAGTTCTAGAGGATTAAACTTAGGGCTTTGCACTGAACTACATCCCTAGCTCTGCTAATTCATGTTTGTTTGTCTGTCAGTTTATTTACTTATTTTTGAGACAGTCTCACTAGGTTGCTAAATTTCTCAAATAAAGCTTGAACTTGCAATCCTCCTGCCTCAGCCTCCCGCAATGCTAGGATTACAGGTGTGCACCACCAGGCCCTGCTCAGTGCACCTGCATTTTGACGATGACCTATCCCCTGAGGTCAGGTGTGAAATTTTCTCCTTGTGGTTTCAGGTAGGCATTCCAAATGCTTCAGATTTTGGAGCACTTTGGATTTCAGATTTTCAGAATTAAGGATGCTCTCAACCCATGGAGATTATGTGTATCCATTTCTTCTTATCAGACTGGGATCAGACAAGTTCCAGGGGAGCCACCAGAGGTGAGTACCAGGGACTGGCTGTCAGCTCTTCACAGTGGTTTTCTACAAAGTGGGCAGGGGCCACAAGGGAAATCAGAGCCTGATTTAGAAAGTGAATTAATGCAAAACATGCATTCCCATCCTCTACTGTTTTGCTCAAGATCTGGCACTCTACCTGCACCCTTCCTCTGCCACCTGAAGTGCTCTTGCTGCAGCTGAGGGGCCCTCACCCAGCCTGCCCTCTCTGTGACACCCCTGCCTGACAGCCTAACAAATTGGCCCTCTTGGGGATAATCTGCCTTATGTAAGTTTCCCTCCTACCATATTGCAGTTTGCTGACTGACAGAGACCATATTATGTTTCGCCCCCTGCCTTTTTCAGGGGGAGAAGGGCACGGTTCACTAGGCCAGCACAGGGTACAGTGCAGTACATGAGTGCTAATTCAGGCAAACTGGACCCCAGAGTGCTCTGCCTAACTAGAAACATCATCCAGCTGGTGATTTTCAAATTTCACCTGAAAGCAACTTATGAAGTTTGGAGATTCTTTTTCGGGGAGTGTTGGGGGTGCCGGGTATGGAACCCAGGGCCTCCTAAATGCTACTCCAACTGTTAGGTCTCAGAACTCTTCCTTTCTCATCCTCTGTTGGTAGTAAGCAGATCATGATATAAATGAGACTCAAACGCTTGGCTACTTCACCCCGCCAAACACTAATACTCCTCCAAGGTCCATGGCTATTTACAAGGACACAGGATATAAGTATCTAAGAGGGTGATCCACCTCCAGGGCACAACAACAGAGACACTCACTTCTGCTCGCACAGGTGGTGCCAATGAGCACCTGCCAGCCTGGAAGAAGATTCCACACAGGGTGCTCGCTGCACTCTTGGACCTTGTTCCATAGTTAGCATTGATTAGGACCCAAGAAAAACACCTTCCCAACAGCACAATTAGTTGAGCAGCCATGTGAGCTCTTCTTTGTGTTATGAAAAGAAAAATTCACTACACAGTAATAAATGGACCAAGAAACAAATATACAGGTACTAGAGGACAACTCGAAATCTCTAAAGGAATAGTTAGAAATTAAGTTAGAAAGACAGGCATTTGGTTTGGCAATCATTCATGAAAAGTAAATAACCAAGAACACGATTACTTTGACACTGTTCTGGAAGGCAGGGGAAGAGAAAAAACATGCTTTCTATTATAAAACAGCTACTTCAGCGAGCCGTCCAAGACTAGATCACCTGTTAATACTGTCATTTGCTAGCTGGATTCCAGAGTCCATTTGCAACACTGTCTTATAATCCACATAAGCCTTGCCGTACTGCTCTAAAGTTTCATAGGCCATGGCTCGTCGCAGAAGAGGTTTCATGGAGAATGGATGGAGTTCCAGAGCTCTAAAGAAGACAAAAATACTACATATCATTTACTTGGACAATTAGTTACACTTAACTGAACACCTATGGGAATAGTGGGCTCTCAAATACATACATAACCTGCTATTTCATCTTGGGGACCTGGCAACACACCAGAAAGGCAATCCCAAAGTAGGATTCAAATTTCTGATTATTTTCTTTGAACCCAGGACCAAAGCTCTCCAGTGTTTCCTCCTTGCCTGCTGAGTGGAGACTCCCTGGCAGCGGGCATCTGCCTCCTTTGTGCCCTTACAGAGCCTGGCATGTCCCCAGGGACACAGAAGGGGTTCATGTTACTGATAGATTAAAAAGAAAATTCTTACCCACCTATGCATTTAATAAGGTAGCTTAGTAGAGAACTGCAAAACTTGCAGAACATTTGGAAAATCAGCTTTCTCAGACTTTCTATAGTTCCTTATGATTTACTTTCTGCACAAAGTTATCAAAAATAGACCAGAGAAAATCAAATAACATATTATGATTTCTTATAAATCATGAATTTTTATCACGCATTTTCTAATCTAGAAAGTGCTTCCAGCATCACTAAAGATGCATTTCAAAGTTGTGTTCTTTGGTTTTGTTTGCATTAACTATTTAAAACTTCTTTGGTACTTAATGTACTTCATTATATTCTGAAGTAAAACATACACTCAGACTGCACCTCCGAATGAAAAGGATTTTACTCTTGATTTTAACACAATCATGTGAAGCAATGAAGAAATGCTCCATGCTGAGGTCGCATGGAGAACCGGTCCCTGACAGAACCTCTACCAGACGGGCCACAATGGATACTGCAAATGTGTTCTTTTGACAGCTCTTCCGCTATGAGCAGTTCATGTAGCAGATGTTTATCCTGCCTGGAGAGCAAGAGTGAGGGCTGCTTTAACTTTCTTTTCCAATAGTCTTACAAATCTGCTACTTTTGCCTCTGGTGACTTGGCAAGGAGGAAGCCCTCAAAGAACACCTGCTACACGCTGGGCCCTGAAGACTTTCTCCCTAACCAAACGACAACCCGCTAAGGTAAACTTCGGTATGCTCCCCACACGGGTGAGGATATTGAGGGACTCATGGAGCCATGGCCCTTCTGTCAGTTCTTTTGCACATCAGCTGCAGGAAGGCAGGCACACTGCCCGTCCTGAGGACCACTAGATACATTCTCAGTCCTAGTTCCACACTTTGTCATGAGCAGCTCAGCAAATATCCCCAGAAAGAACCCTGGGAGCAGCAATTCTTCCCAACACACACACACACACACACACACACACACACACACACGCCCACTCCCTGCCCATGAAAGAACAAAGTCACCTGCCACTTGGACTCCTTCACAACTTTCCACAGCAAATAGTCCCTCAACTGCCTTTGCAGGAGCCTGCTTGGACTCTGCACTACAGAAATTAGCCTAGAACTGCCTTTAAACTTAATTGGCTCATATCTCTGAAAAATAGCAAATTGCCCTGGCCTACATGTTCGGAATGTGAGAGATTTTAGTGGTCATTTTTGTGCTGTGCTACTCTATGTTTTGTTTTCTATAATAGGTTTGTCTTACTTCTGTAACCAATAAAAGTCATTTGAAACTAAAATTTAAATCAAGTAAAAATACTGAAGCACAGAACCTTAGGCTTCCAGAACTGTCACCTGTCTGAAATGTAGCATAGTTTACTGCTGAGGGAGGCCAGCTACAGGAATGGAGACTGTAAATGTGTCTCTCTCACAAGCATGTAGACCTCCAGCGTTCCCAGTGCCCTTCATCCAAGCAAGATACTCCTAAGCAGAGCCTGGGAGCTAAAATTGATAAGATGAGGCATTTAGTTTTTAGTATTTTATAGCATAGCAAATGCAAGGTATTTTCCCCCTTTAACTGCCATCCTGAAAATATGAGCTTGTAAGTGGAAATTCCACTAAGGAAAAACAAAATACCTGTTCACAAACAAACAAGCACAAAACTTTTAAACTAGAGCTGTCTATTCACGACAACACAATTAAGATGAGGGGGAGTCTCCTAATCTCAAATCTGTCAGGAAGTAGCAAAGATAAGCAAAAGCAGAGAATTACTAGACAACATTCCTTTGATTTAGTATGTCAGAGTATCCTCAGTGGAAAGCCACCGAAAGATTCTTGGGGTAGTTTAGATAACCCAAAAAGGTTCTCTGAAAAATGGGAAAAGATTGTTTTAAGCTAATAAACAATTATGAGAATAAAAAAATTGTAGAACAATGATTCTCAAACTTTTCTAGGCCCTCATAAACTCTTTGCATGTTTCACCCTGAGGCCTAGTAGAAACATGCTGTGTGAGGACAAAAACAGGCCATTATGCTCTCCCCATCCCTCCCGACAGAAATTCTCCAGACTATCCCTGGCATCCCTGATACTCCTCAGAGGGTAGATGTTTAAAATCAAATGCCCCATTTTCCCAACATATATAAAATGTCACTTTCACTAGCTGTTTTCCCCCTTCACCTTATTTTAAATTTTGCCCACATAAGTTTTCCTTTTTCAATGTCTCAGGCCCAGTACCCCTGTCTAGTAATGAGAGCTCACAGGACTCTTCAAAGAGCAAAAGCTCACGAAGAAACTTTCCAAAAAACATACAATCTTTTGAGGGTAAAAAAGATAGTCATACTGCCTCTTAATAAATTATTCCTACTTCTTAGAGATTTAAATACATCTGCATTTCAACTTGCTCCCCAAAATACATCCTGGCTTCTCTGGCACTGAAACAAGTTTGAGAATCAAAGCAAGGAGTCAAACCACTCCACACTGGGCACCATCTCCATACCCCTCCTGCTTCACCTCCTACACCAGCTATCAAAGAAAACATCTAAGTAGGTCAGCCTCTATGGAGCCCAGCACTGACCAGCAGGGTCGGATTCCTTGGCTAGAAAGCACTGCTTACCTAAGGATGCCACACCTAAACAAGGGATGCCCACCTCCCTCCCCAGCAGCCCACCTCCTGCTCTCTTCCAAAACCGGCCTCCACTCCAGCCTCCCTGACACCATGGTCAGACGCCTATCTCCCATTTTCCTGGGTTGCACTGTAACACAACGAATTTTGGCCAGCGAAAGCCTACCTCCTCAAACAATCACCGAAGATCAGGGGGAACCCACTGTTTTGCAGCAGCTCTGACTTCAGGGGTCTCAAGTTTTAACTAAAGAATCTTGATCTCGCTCACTTTAGGAAGGCCCCAGACTACTCTGAAGGGGGCGTATTAGAAACAGACACTTGAGAGGATGTCAGCTGTGAATCACAGTGCGCCTGGTATCTAACAAATGCACAAGGTCTTGTCAGTTACTTACAGGCAGTGGTAAATGTTCTAGGTTCTACAGGAAAAGAAAAAAAAATCCGTTTTCATAGTATCTATAACAGCACCATGGTAATTCAGGTTACCAATTTGACTCATCCAGCCCACAAAATCCTGAAAATGTAACAATTAGCTGGTGTGAGGCAGGATGCGGCCAGGCCAAAATAGAAATATTATTTATGTTACATGTGAATATATAAAAATGGCACAAAAAAAAATCCAAGTGCCTCCAGGTCTTCTTTCTAAACTGCAGGCACAACTAGTATCAGTAAACTGATAATGTCAAATGAAACAACAAGCTGGTCGCCTTATTAAGTAGTGCCTACACAATATACTGTCCTAACTAGGGCTTCTGAGAGTGAAACGTGGTGACAGTTCCTAATTACACAAGTTAACAGGAGTAAACCAAGATTGTCAGTCAAATCAGAACAGGATTTATTTTTTAAAGATACACAAGTAGTAACTTCTTTCCAAAGGGCTTCTGAAGCAAGCTCATTACTTAAGGGTAAAAGAAAACAGTATGCTTTATTTGTGTCAGTACATTCTTCCATCCTGGCAAGGAACTCACTGAGTACCATCAGAGCCTGCTGTGCTTCAGAGGGGCGTGGGGGCTGTGACATAAGGAGCTAGAGGGATGATGGAGTGGCAGTGCAGGTGCTAGAGACCTCAGGTGACCAGGGCGGCAGGGAGTCGCAATTTCAGAAGCAAATATATGCAGAGGGCGTTACCCACTTCCAGGTAAAGGAGGGCAAAGGCTAGGAGAACTGAGTGGTGAGCGGAAGTGTTCCGGGAGCAGAAAGCTGAGGGCGGGTGTGTGTGTGTGTGTGTGTGTGTGTGTGTGTGTGTGCGCGTGTGTGCGTGCGCTGAGAAGTTCATAATTGTCTGGGAGACAATCCTGAGCCTCAAAGCCCTGCTGGAAATAATCTGAGCACCGTAATGTTTCAGAAGTTATCCGGACATAGTCTAGGGGTGAAGTGGGGTGGGGGCAGTGGAAATTTAAAAATGCCTACACAATTTCTCCGTCTTCACACGTGAGAGAGTGGATAATGATTTTCTAATCAATCAACATAGCCCAACACTATTTTAAGAAGTCAGATTCTTACATAGAATCGTGCTTTCACCACACTGAAATGGTAACAAGGTCTTGACAAACCCCAAAACATGCGGTTTACCTGTCACAATCTTGAATGCAGCCACTGCAGTTTCCTTCCTTTAGGTAACACGCAGCTCTGTTTGAATATAAGATACTTAGATCATCTGCACTTTCACTTCCTAAAATCACATGTAATTAAATATGGTTAAAATCCATCAGCAAAATCACATTTTGGCAGAACCACAAGACGCAGAGGTCGCGGGCGCCGGCAGTCCCCCCACCCCGAGAGGCCCCGGGCCCCCCAGGTCAGGCGCG